GGCACAAATGCCATGGCTTTTCGTTCCCACAAAGTTAACCACAGGTTCTGCCGCTAAGTTTGCCGGCCACAAAACCCAAGAAATCGGGTTTCTCGAGTTGCGCCGGCCCTTCTGCCGGAGGTTTTACCATCCCTTTAGCCACAGTTTTGGGTCAGTTTCGCCCAAAAATATTTATGAGTGTTTATACTACCTGGCTACTTTCAATATATATGTATATACATCAAGCATGATCTGATTGGCTCACGATTTGGAAAGACACCTCCTGCAAAGGCTGCGACATCGTCGGTGATCTGATGGTTCCACATCACCTACACAGGTTCAAAGCTGGACACATGCCAAAAACATGCGATGTGGTGCCAATGCTCGGTAAACCTATCATTTGGTAATATTAGGGATTGTCTATTGGGTTTAGAAAATTGGGAGCATGCTAAATGTATGCATTCAGGCAGTTTTGAGTTCCAATGGGTCGATGCCTGCCGCGTCGCATCTGCGGTGGCAAAGTGTTGAATCAACAGTGGCACTTACATCAATCAACTGGATATCAAGACTCACTCGCGTTTTATGAAATGAATCAAAATGATATCTTTAAGAATGTACAGAGTTTGGGAAACATTTCACCACCAATTCATGATGAACGTAAGAAGGCTGCAATCAATTTGAGAATAATCCTCTTTGGCACTCTCCATCTTTGATCCAAGAGGCAATGTATAATTCTTTTGCTCCTTCACATTCCACTCAGTCAAATTGGGCCTTTGGCCGGCTCGCACTAAGGAAGAATGCAGGCAACTTCGACTGAAGACAGAAACCGAACGATGTCATGATGGCCTTTTTGAGCTGCAAGATCCAAAGGGGTTGCCCTGTAACTGTAGTTAGTCGTAAGTTGATCCTTGTTGGCCCCGGCTTCAACCAGCACCCGAACAACATCAACATGTCCTGCTTCGGCAGCAAGATGCAAAGGTGTTGCCCCATTAGCAGCATTCAGTTGATCCTTGTTGGCCCCGGCTTCAACCAGCAACTGAACAACATCAGCATAGCCTGCTTCAGCAGCAAGATGCAAAGGCGTTGCCCCATTAGCAGTTGTGGGTTGATCCTTGTTGGCCCCCACTTCAATCAGCAACCGAACAACATCGAGATGTCCTGCTTCAGCAGCAAGATGGAGGGGCGTTGCCCCATTAGCAGCATTCAGTTGATCCTTGTTGGCCCCGGCTTCAACCAGCAACTGAACAACATCAGCATGGCCTGCTTCAGCAGCAAGATGCAAAGGCGTTGCCCCGTGCAAAGCTGTGGGTTGATCCTTGTTGGCCCCCACTTCAATCAGCAACCGAACAACATCGAGATGTCCTGCTTCACCAGCAAGATGGAGGGGCGTTGCCCCATTAGCAGCATTCAGTTGATCCTTGTTGGCCCCGGCTTCAACCAGCAACTGAACAACATCAGCATGGCCTGCTTCAGCAGCAAGATGCAAAGGCGTTGCCCCGTGCATAGTTGTGGGTTGATCCTTGTTGGCCCCGGCTTCAACCAGCAACTGAACAACATCAGCATGGCCTGCTTCAGCAGCAAGATGCAAAGGCGTTGCCCCATTAGCAGTTGTGGGTTGATCCTTGTTGGCCCCCACTTCAATCAGCAACCGAACAACATCGAGATGTCCTGCTTCAGCAGCAAGATGGAGGGGCGTTGCCCCATTAGCAGCATTCAGTTGATCCTTGTTGGCCCCGGCTTCAACCAGCAACTGAACAACATCAGCATGGCCTGCTTCAGCAGCAAGATGCAAAGGCGTTGCCCCGTGCATAGTTGTGGGTTGATCCTTGTTGGCCCCCACTTCAACCAGCAACTGAACAACATCAGCATGGCCTGCTTCAGCAGCAAGATGCAAAGGCGTTGCCCCATTAGCAGTTGTGGGTTGATCCTTGTTGGCCCCCACTTCAATCAGCAACCGAACAACATCGAGATGTCCTGCTTCAGCAGCAAGATGGAGGGGCGTTGCCCCATTAGCAGCATTCAGTTGATCCTTGTTGGCCCCGGCTTCAACCAGCAACTGAACAACATCAGCATGGCCTGCTTCAGCAGCAAGATGCAAAGGCGTTGCCCCGTGCAAAGCTGTGGGTTGATCCTTGTTGGCCCCCACTTCAATCAGCAACCGAACAACATCGAGATGTCCTGCTTCAGCAGCAATATGGAGGGGCGTTGCCCCATTGGTAATGGTGAGTTTATCCTTGCTGGCTCCAGTTTCAAGCAGCAGGCGAACCGCCTCAAGATGGCCACCAAAAACTGCTGCATGCAAGGGCGTCGTCCCAACCCCGATTTCTCCAGCGTCTTTATCTGCTTCTGCCTCAAGCAAGAGCTGCATAGGCTTTGTGTTTCCATTGAGGGCAGCGTGGTACAAGGGTGTCCTGCCTTCTGCATCTGTCAGGTTGGGAGTCAAAGGGCGCTGAAGCAGCTTTTCAAGGGCAAGCGAATCATTTTCTGCACACGCAGTGACCATGCTTTGGCTGTTTTCAGCATCTGGTGGCCAAAACGCTAACACCGCCACCTGTAGTTTCAGTGGTGCAGAACCCAAAACCTCGTCATCCAGAATCTCATGACCATCTTCCGAGAAGAGTTTTTGTCTGAATCCTTGATTTGCTAAGAGAGCCACAGTATAAAGAATATCCCAAACAGTGGCGAATATGTCTTTCGAAGACAATATCTCATTTCAAGACCTCAACATCTCTGAATAGATTTATGGCTTACGAAACTAGCATGACTGAACTGACAAGTTGCAAGCAGTGCTGACCCTTGCTTTGGAATCCCACTTGGCAATGGACATATTCTGTGGGCCTCTTGTTTGCAAACCTTGCTTCGGAACTTTGGCATCTGGAAACCTTGCCTTGGAAGTTTCCTGACTTAGCTTGGGAACCTTCCACTGGAACCTTTCTTGGGAACCTTGCTTGAAAACCTTGCCTGGGAAACTTGCTTGGAATATTCCTGCGTTTTTTTGTTGCTATGGCAGAAGACCTCAATATGGAAAATCTCAAAATATTCCCAGCTTGCCAATGGTGGATTGATCAAGAAATGAAAAAAAACATCTTCAGCAGATCCAGGAAACTGGAAACGCCAAGTTCTGGCGCCAAGGTTTGCTTCAGAATCCTCGCCACCTGCGCCTCGAACTTCACCGCGTCAAGAGTTGCCAGCGGCTCACCGGATGCAAGGAAACACACTTCCATTGCCGCAGGATGCCGCAGGAGTTGAGATGTGGACTTGGCCGGTTTTGATGTTTTTGTCTTGCATGTATTTGGCATATATGGGATTTGAATTTTAAACTCTAGACAAATACACCTGTGAAAATAGACATCTGTTTACCCTAAACCTGTGTCTTTCGCATGTGTCCGTGTCCATATGCAGAGGCATGAAGCTATACCGGTACTCCGAAAAGTTGTCTGTTTGTATAGGTAGGTGATCCTCTATGTATGGGTCTTCGCAAGGACGTCTATATAAAGCGATCTGTCCAGAAACAATTTGTCAAATGTCAAGGCTTCAGTCCCACTTCTTTGATAGGCAGAGTGAGCGAAGACTGTCATCACAAACAATCCCATGGTGACTTTGCTTTGCACAGATCACTGCCCGACAACCTATGATCTGTTGATCATGTTGTTGTAAGACTTGGACAACCAGTCGCGAAGCAAATCCAAAGGACTTCGAAGATGGAGGGAGGGGGGAGGGAGAGAGACCAAGAGGGGGAGGGAGAGAAGGAGGGGAAGAGACAGATAGAGAGACAGAGATACAGAGAGACATAGAAACAGAGTGTGCAGTCAGTGTTCAGTCTTCAGTCAACTAGCCTCAAAAAGATCCTGTTTTTTGAACGCCTGCATGAGCGTCCAATGAACCAGCTCAGTGTCGACATTGAAAACTGTCGTGTTGCACAATCATTTCGCACAACAAGTGCTGTTGCCGTTGCGTACAGACATAGTAGTCAGAATAGACTCCTGGTAACATGCTCCCAAAATACACTGCTACACGTCTAATGAACGCCCAACGCCAGTGCTGCGGCCTCCTCACAGCTGGATCGGGAACATCAGGCCTGGAAGCAGTCCAGCGTTTACCGTTCAGATCCTGATCTGGATCTCCTTCGCTTACCCCTACACAAATTCGAGGAAAAAGACGAAATCGTTTGTTGATCTGCGAAACTATGGCAACTCTCCCACAAAGAATCGCACACTCTATTTGGGCAAACCATATGTACTCTGGAAACATGAAACTGTGAGATCCACCACAATACAAACGTACTCGACTCGCAAACGGACCAAAGAACATCACCATGGCTTCTCACATGGAAAGTGATCCGCCCACATGATCGTCCGCACATGTTTTCTCTTTGGGCTGGTGTTGCCAACGCATTCCTCTCCATTTTGAGTCATTTTGAAGGCAGGTCCTTCTTAAGATGTCCTAACAATTTGCTGTTTTGCGAGCACTTGTCATGCACATATAGCCTACTTCTCTTGGGAGCATGTGTTGATCAAGATGCTTATAAGCAACCGAAAATAAACTTGCAAAACCAATCCAGGATCAAGACCCCAAACAGAAACAACGGCGTGTTCTTTTTGACTGTTTTTTCTCAATGAACGAACGGTAGTGGGGGTGTTAGTGTTTTTTGGTGCCACCCAGGCTATGGTCCCCCTTCATTTCAACATCCCCACGCCTCACTCTGAGAGAGGACGCAAACTTCTTGGCACACGGTGGCTCCTCCAAACATGGTAATGGGGGTAGCTCCAAACATCTCCAAACTATATTATAGACGGCCATCTTCGTAGTGAAACCCATGGTTGCATACATGGCATACATTGAATTGAAAACAAATTGTCTCTGTCTATCTTATCAGTGGATTCGCCTTGAAGCTGAAGTTGTCTGGTTTTTGGGCTATGTGGCATTTCACTCAGGAAAACAGAATGCACAGGAATGGTGGTTCTCTTATTATGGGCCGCTGTTCTCTGCCCAGAATGCAGGACCTTCATGCATGGCTCCAGTTTTCTTCGCCGGCAGTTCATTGCAATGGCCCGCGCTCTTCGCGGTCCATGCTGCGACTTCGAATGGCTACCTGGGCTGGAATGAGTTTTACAGGGCAGTCGAACGATTGGGTTCTCACCAGGGGTAATGTTCTGCCATTCATATTTGATGTAGCAGTCTTACTGTGGTTCTGCCTTTTCTTTCATTTCTTGCCAGCCATGCTCATGATTTGGTCCTCGTTTAAAAAAATGAAATCAAATCCTGTTTCTTCCTTCAGAGATGAGTTTGTCGCAACAACAGTGAGGCCATGAGAAAGATGTAAAATTCACAACGTGACACCTGCGCAGGTAATGTGTTTTCACACATTGGAAAGGGAATGCAAAGCTTTGGATTTCCAACGACCTATATACTGTTTGTTGGAAAAGCTAGAATTCAATTTGTCAACCGGATCAACTTTCGCGAGATTTCTTGGCTCTTCGCCCCAACATCTCCAGTAGCATGCAGCGTGGACTAGCCAGACAACAGCCAAAGCACCCCTCAACATCACCAAAGTTGTGGCATGTAACGGCATGTAGTCACCCCCACTCCAATAAGCCCAACCCCGCCTAAACTGTCACCAGTAGTCTTCGCGATGAAAGGCAGCAAACTGGCCAGGCACGGATTACCACAGCGTTGCAACCCAACAGCAATAGGGGTTCCAGGATTCCATTCCGGTTTTGAGTGTCTTGTGCATCGGTGTTGTATCGCTGGTGCACCAGTTCCGGACCCCAAAAGGTTGACTCCTGCATCACATCTGAAAAGAAAATCACGCAACGCCCACCTCTCCAAACCAATCCTCAACTTCGGTTGGCCTTGGAAGGAAGCTACCCATTACCAACCAAATGCTGCTGTTTAGACACTGTCTATCCACAGTTTCAGTCAAACCAAAGGTGGTCTCTGCATTCCTCTTCAAACACATGGCCTCTGAAGGTGGAAGTTATGCACCCCAGCAACAAACGCACAACACACATGTTTCCAGCTGCCTATGCACGTCTCCCCCAGCAACCTGAGAGTTGCGCCCCTGAGACGCGACTGTTGACTCAGCATCGCCTTTCAGTGGATGGCGTGCTAGAATCTCGTGACTTGTGGATGCCGCGGATTAATTGGACTATAGTAGGCATGCCACCAAACCACAGTAGTCAATTCCTGAGACACAGCAATATACTTTGAAGTGCGACAATTTGAATTGCGAGATTGAGTTGGTTGCACCAGGAAAAATGTAAGATGCTGTTGAGCCCTGCATATCAGGTCCAAACACATGCGCAGTAGCCAGGTCCTACCTCCATGTCTGATTTCAATGTCGAGAATACAACACCCAATAAAATACGAACATAGCATGGTTCTTTTCTCAACGCACAAAAAGAACGGACCAGTATCATAAAATGTTCGATGTAGAACAGCAAATGTTGCAAGTTGTGATTGCCTGACAACGGAACAGAACGAAAACTGCAAAAACCAGGCTTTCGTGAATGGATTGAATGGATTGTAATTGTGGTCTAGATCTCCAAAGCACCCAACCACGATATCGCCATGCCGCTTCTGGGTTTCCCAGCTGTCATTCTGGTCTTTGCCAAGGGACTGCATAGCATACAACCTCAACAAAGCAACAGTATCACGTCAACTGCTCTTGGCAATGCCGCATTCCAACAAAAACCCATGCATTGCTGTGAAACCCAAAGAATGCCAAGTAGAACGGGATGTCACACATGTGACTGTTCAAAGTGCTCATGCAACTGGACAGCACTAGCTGACACGGCTTCGATCTATATAGGTTTGTCCAACGGGTGTGAAAGAAATGACCACTTCCACCTCTGTGGAAACCTCTGTGCCCCACGGCGGAATGTCTGAATTGTTTCAGTCAGAGGTCTAAATACGGTAGGTGTTCAGTTGAAGGCCTTTTTATACTTTGGAAGTTTAGCAAGGTCTGTTAGTTTGCCCACTCGGAACCTGAACCGTTGCTGCCAAGCTTCACATCACGACACTCGCGTTCACCCTCGGCAAAACCAAGTGGGTATTGGGGCCTGTCTGGAGTACGTTTACATGTATGATAACCAATGAATAGAAAAAGGAATGTGCATATTTATAAGATTTTATAAGTATATGTGTATGTGATGCACCCTTGTTTGATTCATGGATCACATGCGTCTGAAAGTTATATGTCTAGAATGTTTTTCGCATTATTTATTAATATGTATTTATTGTTTCTTTATCCATTTAGTTATCTATTTCTCTATTTTTTAGTATTTACTGTATCTCTACTTTTTTTTGTTTGGTTATATATATTCTTTTAAAATCTATCAATGTGTTTGTTTATTTATCTATTCACTTACAGTATATACATGTGTATTGCTGATTTTCCGCATCTACACGTGCAGGCACTTGATTGTTCTTCCTCACATCCAATATCTACAGAGTTATGTCTCGCAAGTTGTCATCTGTACCAACATGGTCAGGCTTGGTTAAGGCCCATAAATTGTGGGACTCACCCCTTGGGGAAAAAACTCTGTCGCTTGCATTGCTACAAAATCTACATGCGATGGAACACCGAATGCAAGGATTTGGTGAACTCTAAAAACATCAAATGCATTCCCTGCCTCTGCAGGGGCTGCCACTTCAACTGGATCATCCACCGTGATGTCCTCCGCTACTGCTGGAACAGCCTGGCAGCTTGTTTCAACGCCAACAGGGCACATCAAGTGCAATGACCTTGGCAGTTGCACACTTCTATCACTCATACCAGGACCAAGCTGGTTGTACAGTAGCAGTCTCGTCCTGATGGACTTAGTAGTAACGTCCTTTGCCGATTCAAAGATTGCAGTCACAATTGACAAATGGCCAGTCCATTCCATTGCAAAGTTACAAGTAAAGCTCCCCCTCTCATTCGGTATCCAGAGTCCCTCAAGTCCTCAAGAGTCAAAAATTGCCAAACACTTCGCAGTTTTCACTCCCACAATCCCAAGTATGTATGGACACCAGTCTATCCAAAGTTTTCCACAGGCCTTTGGAGACTTCACAGGCTCCTCGGCCACATCGTCTTCAGTGGTGCTTTCCGGAACCTGGTAGCGGAAACGATCTGGAGATGTGATCCCGGCTCCACAAGTGGTGCAACACCCGTTGTGAGAACACACAAGGCAAGCCAAACGGACAACATGATGGTGGGATCGGACATGATAAACAATGAAGAACTCGTTTGTCTAGCCAGAAAAAAGGGGGCAGTAAATCCAAATACATCGTGGAGATCCGTAAGGTGAAGGGACGCAGAATGACGCATGTTCGAGGGACAATTCGGGGCACATTGGCTCACTTCACAATGTTCCTTGCCTCTGCAGGAGCAGTCAGTTCCGCAGACCGGTCATCCAGAGTGATGTCTTCCGCTAGTGCGGGAGCCGCCTCGCACTCAGTTTCATTGAACACAAGGCACGTGAAACATAAAAGCCTCAAGACAACCACATTCCAACATTCCAACATTCCCAAACGCATCCAAATTCAGGAAGCCACAACAAATCCTGGAGGCTGTCATGATTAATCTTTTTCGACCAAGGCTAAAACAAGGGCATGGTGTCCCGATTTCCTGTTACAATTGTTACAATGAAATTCCTTCAATCTTCAGATAGGGGAAAAAAACTATTTGTGAGCAAAGCCATAACAAAGCCTTAAGAGTCGGGAAAAAAAAGTATGCATGCAATAACATGGTGGGATCCACGAACACCTAAATGCAATGCGACTCCCCTCACAGGACTCCCTGCCTCTGCGGCTGCCTCTGCAGGGGCTGCCACTTCAAATGGATCCACCGTGATGTCCTCCGCTACTGCTGGAACAGCCTGGCAGCTTGTTTCAACGCCAACAGGGCACATCAAGTGCAATGACCTTGGCAGTTGCACACTTCTATCACTCATACCAGAACCAAGCTGGTTGTACAGTAGCAGTCTCGTCCTGATGGACTTAGTAGTAGCGTCCTTTGCCGATTCAAAGATTGCAGTCACAATTGACAAATGGCCAGTCCATTCCATTGCAAAGTTACAAGTAAAGCTCCCCCTCTCATTCGGTATCCAGAGTCCCTCAAATCCTCAAGAGTCAAAAATTGCCAAACACTTCGCAGTTTTCACTCCCACAATCCCAAGTATGTATGGACACCAGTCTATCCAAAGTTTTCCACAGGCCTTTGGAGACTTCACAGGCTCCTCGGCCACATCGTCTTCAGTGGTGCGTTCCGGAACCTGGCAGCGGAAACGATCTGGAGATGTGATCCCGGCTCCACAAGTGGCGCAACACCCGTTGTGAGAACACACAAGGCAAGCCAAACTGAGAACATGATGGTGGGATCGGACATGATAAACAATGAAGAACTCGTTTGTCTAGCCAGAAAAAAGGGGGCAGTAAATCCGAATACATCCTGGAGATCCGTAAGGTGAAGGGGCGCAGAATGACGCATATTCGAGGGACAATTCGGGGAACATTGGCACACTTCACAATGTTCCTTGCCTCTGCAGGAGCAGTCAGTTCCGCAGACCGGTCATCCAGAGTGATGTCTTCCGCTAGTGCGGGAGCCGCCTCGCATCCAAATGCAGGAAGCCACAACAAATCCTGGAGGCTGTCATGATTAAGCTTTTTCGACCAAGGCTAAAACAAGGGCATGGTGTCCCGATTTCCTGTTACAATGAAATTCCTTCAATCTTTAGATAGGGGAAAAAAACTATTTGTGAGCAAAGCCATAACAAAGCCTTAAGAGTCGGGAAAAAATAAAGTATGCATGCAATAACATGGTGGAATCCACGAACACCTAAATGCAATGCGACTCCCCTCACAGGACTCCCTGCCTCTGCGGCTGCCTCTGCAGGGGCTGCCACTTCAAATGGATCCACCGTGATGTCCTCCGCTACCGCTGGAAAAGCCTGGCAGCTTGTTTCAACGCCAACAGGGCACATCAAGTGCAATGACCTTGGCAGTTGCACACTTCTATCACTCATACCAGGACCAAGCTGGTTGTACAGTAGCAGTCTCGTCCTGATGGACTTAGTAGTAACGTCCTTTGCCGATTCAAAGATTGCAGTCACAATTGACAAATGGCCAGTCCATTCCATTGCAAAGTTACAAGTAAAGCTCCCCCTCTCATTCGGTATCCAGAGTCCCTCAAATCCTCAAGAGTCAGAAATTGCCAAACACTTCGCAGTTTTCACTCCCACAATCCCAAGTATGTATGGACACCAGTCTATCCAAAGTTTTCCACAGGCCTTTGGAGACTTCACAGGCTCCTCGGCCACATCGTCTTCAGTGGTGCGTTCCGGAACCTGGCAGCGGAAACGATCTGGAGATGTGATCCCGGCTCCACAAGTGGCGCAACACCCGTTGTGAGAACACACAAGGCAAGCCAAACTGAGAACATGATGGTGGGATCGGACATGATAAACAATGAAGAACTCGTTTGTCTAGCCAGAAAAAAGGGGGCAGTAAATCCGAATACATCCTGGAGATCCGTAAGGTGAAGGGGCGCAGAATGACGCACATTCGAGGGACAATTCGGGGCACATTGGCTCACTTCACAATGTTCCTTGCCTCTGCAGGAGCAGTCAGTTCCGCAGACCGGTCATCCAGAGTGATGTCTTCCGCTAGTAGGGGAGCCGCCTCGCACTCAGTTTCATTGAACACAAGGCACGTGAAACATAAAAGCCTCAAGACGACCACATTCCAACATTCCAACATTCCCAAACGCATCCAAATGCAGGAAGCCACAAGAAATCCTGGAGGCTGTCATGATTAAGCTTTTTCGACCAAGGCTAAAACAAGGGCATGGTGTCCCGATTTCCTGTTACAATGAAATTCCTTCAATCTTCAGATAGGGGAAAAAAACTATTTGTGAGCAAAGCCATAACAAAGCCTTAAGAGTCGGGAAAAAATAAAGTATGCATGCAATAACATGGTGGAATCCACGAACACCTAAATGCAATGCGACTCCCCTCACAGGACTCCCTGCCTCTGCGGCTGCCTCTGCAGGGGCTGCCACTTCAACTGGATCCACCGTGATGTCCTCCGCTACCGCTGGAAAAGCCTGGCAGCTTGTTTCAACGCCAACAGGGCACATCAAGTGCAATGACCTTGGCAGTTGCACACTTCTATCACTCATACCAGGACCAAGCTGGTTGTACAGTAGCAGTCTCGTCCTGATGGACTTAGTAGTAACGTCCTTTGCCGATTCAAAGATTGCAGTCATCCTTGGCAGCTGTCCGTTAGGTTATCACAACTAGCGTCAGAGTCAGTCACCCGAGTCAGCCGGTGGGAGTCGAGAACCTCAAAGCGTCTGACTCCGAAGTAGGGGGCTGACTGACTTCATCTAGTCCCAACAAGGAAAGCTCCCCCTATCGTTCAGTATCCTTATATAACCCTTCAAGATCCAGTGACCCAGGACTGGTCAATCAGTTCGTCAAATTGGTACGCCCTGTCTTGCGACATATGAGTAAAAGGGGGGCGCAACTGGGAAGCCGCTGCCTTTCTGCTGATTGGGTGACAAACTCTACACCACAAAAAACCTTACCTCCAGACTCCAACTTCTCGTTCCATGTTTGCACCATACCCTAAATGAGCCTCAAAAGGTTCTTCCAAAATCAGGGATTTCCCCTGTATGTCCCCAAAAGCTTATGTGATCCCCTGTGGAGAGTTTGTGCTGACTATGATTGCGGTTCTAGCACCGGGTTTGTCCGGTGTATTTAATACTTCCATATTTTCTATAATGCAATAAATGATGTGTTTTTCTTTTTTTTTTATGTATTTCTATATCCGTGGATGAATGAAATGTGTCTGGTGAAGATTCTTTTTCTGTGCCAACTACTCTCTGGTCACCATTCATCTTGCCTGGGACTAAGGGCCGTTGGGAGACTCGTGCCGCGATTTCATTTGGTAGTTGTTGAACCCCTTACCATAATCATAGCCGTCTTAGTCATAAGTCATACGGGGGCACTGGCTCCAGTCTACAGCCTAAACATGCCTAAACCATCATTCTTTGGTGGCCGGCTTCCATCACTTCCAAGCCCGAAGTTTATTCGAGCCTTTTGTGACCACCAGGGAGCGGTTGAATGCTTGCCACCCTGGCCATATGAAGGCGCGAAAAGAAAAAATAACGAGACAGGCAAGCTTGCCATCTCACAAATTACCATAGTCCCTACCGGGGTTTATGTAAATTTGGAGGATGCTAGTTTCTCAAAACAAGTGAGTTTTGCAATGTGGCTCAACTTGAGGCTGAGGCTTGGACTTTCGGTGTGCACCAGATTTTGGTCACGCTTGGGCACCCCGGATTGCCAGAACGGGTGAAGTTCCTCTTTCGAGCACAGAACGCACTGATACAACGGAGGAAGATGGAGGAAGTGGTAAGCAACCGGCCTCTGCTTGTCAGCGCTGAGGCGACTGAAGCGCATTTCCGAAATGAATGGCTCAGTTGGCAATTCAGTTCACTGGCAACAATGGAATGCGAGACCGTCGCTGGCTAGAATTGAGCCAAAGATAGCCAAAGGATGTTGGGACGCAGCTCTGTCCAAACCCCCAAATTTCCATCCAAAATCCACTGATTCACTGATTCATCTTCATTATCAAAGCATATCAAAACCAAGGCCGAAAAGGTCCTGGAAAGTTTCCCAGGTATCGCTAGAAGACCTGGCAAACGGCTGCTATGCCATCTATGCTTCTCCAAGGTCTTGATTGCTACAAGATCAAGAACATACTACAAGAAGATAGTCTTTCATTCATGGAAGTAACCAGGGTATTGCAAGTTTGACTGATTTTTTGATGTCAAAAGTGTCTTGAATACGAACATCTTTCACGCCGAAGACATTATTTGATGGACGCAGCAAGCGGTCCCTTCTTCTGGAGCAAGTCACTTAGTTTTTCTTACTTATTCTTGGTTGTGCTGCTTCACGACTGAATCAAAGGGCAGCAATCGAATTCGAATTTCCCTTAGCATTTGAATTCAAAACAGTGTTTCCATCACTTCTGAACAATAAGTTACGTTTATTTGACCCTCCTCTTTCAGGCGCCTTGTTCACAGTCTGATGTCCAGGCTCACAAGCAAACCTGCAGCAGACATGATGAGAACAAGGATGGAACCGAGGATGATAAACGGGGATGAAAAGCAATTGGTCTTATGACTAATCAAATTTTAGCAACGAAGAGTTGCAGCAATGAAACATCTACGGGCCCCCGGGGAGACATGGATTCCTATCTGGGTTCCATGCCGCAGGTACCCATTTGTGCAAGTTGTGTGGCAACTGAACACTGGCGGGTCTTCACGGAATGTTGTCCGTTTTCTGAAAAGGAAAAAAGTTTCTACTCCCTACTTTCTCTGCCAATCATGGCATTTGCAATAAAGGTTGTTCTGCTGTGCCAAAACTGTTTGGGAGAATGTTGAATATCTCAATTTTCCCGTAGTTCCACAGGTATCTGAGTCCCATTTTTCCAGCTCGGACAGGAAGCAAGCGATTTCCGTGTGGCAACTTTGCTATGCTACATCCAGAGCAGTTGTGCTGTTGATCCTGGTTATGGTCCTGTCAGCACCAGACTCAATCAGCAGGCAGACCACCTCTAAATGGCCTTGATAAGCTGCCACATAGAACGGTGTCGCACCCCAATCCATGGTCTGATCCTTGTGGGCACCCGCTTCAAGCAGCAAGCGGGCAATGCCCACGTGACCCGCTTGGGCACTATGCAAAAGTGTTGACCCACTCTCGCGTTTTTTGGTCCCTTGGGTCCATTGGTCCCTGGTCCTGTGGCCCTTTGGGTTGTTGCGAACCTTGCCCAAATCTTTTTCAGCCCCAGCTGCGATTAGCAAGCGCACACCCTCTAGATGGCCTCCTTCGGCCGTCCTGGGCTGATTCATGTTTGCATCGACTTCAAGCAGTAAGCGGATAGTGTCAATATGTGTCCTTTCAGATGCAATGAACAACGGCGTTGCGCCAGTGTCCCTTGCCTGATCTTTGTCAGCGCCATAGTCAAGCAAACAGCGCACCACGTCGAGATGGCCCCGCTGACATGCGACGAAGAGTGGCGATTCCCCGCAGTCCGTGGCCTTCTTTTCAGCTCCTGACTCAAGCAGAGTGCGGACTATGACTGGCCGGTTTTGTGCAGCGACGTGAAATGGCGTTGCTCCAACACTCAAAAACCAGATCTGTCCGAGCTCCGGCTTCCAGCAGACAGCAAAGCACATCATGATGACCACTCTGAGCTGCGTATAACGGGCTTGCTGCCTGTGGGAACATCAACTCCGGGGCAACCTCGGCATGGAATAATGGTGACTTGCCCTGTTCATCCAATTTGGATTCACAGGGTGAAGCAACTTTTCAAGTGCAAGTGAATCTTTGATTGACACCAAGAGCAAGCTTTGGCTTTGTTCAGCATCTTGTGGAAAAAAATCCAACACCACCAGACCACCAGCTGTACTTTCGGTGGTGCGGAAGCCAAAACCTCATCATCCAGGATCTCAGAACCATCTGCATGCGGAGCTGAGCTGCAAAGGATTGCTTCAGAAGCTTTGCTGTACCCTGAAACTCATCTGCATCCAGCGACAGTGTCTCACCGGATGCAAGGAAACACACCTCCATTGCTTCAGCCATGCTGCCAACAGTTTATGTCGTCTACCCAACACAGATTTAGACTCAGATCATTCTGCAACAGTTTTGCCATGTCATAAGAAAGGTATCTTGTGACCTGTGCTGACCATCAGAGCTGCTTGGCGTTTTGAGTTCACCATCAAACCAGACTCTCCTGCCGCAGAGGATCAAGAATCTGCGGATGCGAGCCATGATGGCACCAATTCGCCGGTGTGATCACCAATCATGGGTCGACCCAAGCTACAAAAAATGGTTTGTCCCATGTGTTGCACCCCATTTTGGTCCAGTTTGAGCAGGATAGAGACACCAGGCGGTTGAGGTACGGTATGTTAGTTTTGCATCGGCTCACAACTCCATCAAACTGCCGCAAAACCATGCTGCAAAGTAGACAGGTCAAATAAAACATGCTTCCACTTTCACCTACAAATTTTCAGCATCAATGTCACCTACCCATGCACGAAGTTTTTTGGAGCGTGTCACCCACTGGCATTTGGAATGGCTTTGGAAACCAGTTGCCACCGCACCCATTGACACCAAGTCTACTTTCCAATCAGGAAGCTTAGAAATGAAAATCTATAATGGGATCGTCCAAGGTTCATCTTTTTGATCCAACTAGAGGTGGGAATACACCTCAAAAACCATCAAAAAACATTTAAAAAAACCTATAGTGTTCACCCTGAGCCGACCCCTCTCAGGCTCAAGCTGTTTACAGCTCAAACGACTGACCAACGAAGCTCAACCCCTGCCACGAGATCAAACATTTCCGCTATGGTACAGGGCTTCCATGGGCTTCCGGGCTGTTTGATCGCACCACATGTCATGCCCAATCCATGCCTCCACATCCTCTCTTAGTTCTGGACTCATGCGAAATTGGGTCGTGGCATGTCGCCTATGGTGGAGAAATCATACATGACTGGAACCCGAATAAAACCCCTATGTTGGATGGTTGACCTCCCCATTGAATCCATTTTCTGGGGTCAAAACCTCCCAAAATTACGGCCGTTTTAGAATTAACTTTATGGCACAAACCCAACGCTCCACCAACTTAAACACTGCTTCGAGCGACAATGCCATCTCGACGATGACCAAGTGTCCTGCGATGTGGAACATCAGTAAACGTCAGAATGGAGGATATGTACAAATCCCATAAATGCACAGAACTGGTCATTTCTGTCAAGCATATGTGCCACAACAAAATAATGAGAACGCTTGGTTTTCCCGTCTTCGTTGGCCAGCTGGGTCAATGATCCTACCAAAAAACAATTGCACTGACCAGCTGGGCCAGCTCAGCAAAGAACGACTCCATCTATAGCAGATCTATACTCTCACATTTACAACTACTCTGGTGTCACTCCCATCGGACACAAAATTCACTACAGCATACTACAGGATTTCTGAAGTGCTTGACTTCACAGGTCATCCAACGACTTGGTCATTTGTTTCGACCTGGTCGATTCCACCTGGTCCCACCTAGGTTTCAGCAAGCTTCAGCATCACAGCACTCAGCACGGCACTGCAAACGCTCATGGAGAAGGCATTGCCAGTAAGATCATGGCATAGGCGACGATGTTTGGTCAGGAATTTGCCCCTCGCCGCCTTGAAATCCTTGGTGAAGATGCCTTGCAGTGCCAACACCTCTTCAGCACTCAGGAAGCGCTGCTGGTTTGCCCAGTACATCGTGCCTGCCGGTCGTGATAATGCCAATTTGCAAATGACAAAGAGATTGAGGATCCCTCTTTTGGTGATGAAAATGATGAAAACAAAACCAAAAATAGGGGAAAGAAATAACATCCAAACCTACGCAAATCAAGCATGCTAAAATTGTTCAAATCTAGAATCAACAACTGAAAAAAAAAAGAAACACAGCTCCCAGCTACTATTGGCCACCAAACAAGGCGTGCGTTGCAGCTGCACTGGGGACCTCTGTTCGCTCTTGGCCACATCCACAATGACCTGGTCCCGAGGCCTGCGGTGCGGCACCTTCTTCAAGCCGGCCTTCAACACCTTCCTCTGACGGGGGTTCAAGGTTCGGTTCTCAGGCATTCCAGCTGTGCCAACCTGGGCATGGCAAACATGGAACCAAAGCAAGCAATAACTGCAATAACTATAACTGGTTGGTGGTTGACCTACCCCTCTGAAAAATATGAAAGTCCGTTGGGATGATTATTCCCACTATATGGAAAAATAAAAATGTTCCAAACCACCAGCCAGATAATAACTATGACTATAATGATCATGTTTTGGTTGGTTTGGTTGCATGATTTCCGACAGATCACAATGGACGTAGCCTGAAACCCTGGCAGAATCACTCTGGCTCTGACCCATGGAAAAAGGGAAAATCACCACCCTGTGCACCAACATCGTGTACTGTGGAAAGAAATGAACAGTCATGGCAGTCTACAGACGCACAAATGGCACATGTTGAATGTTTAAGGCTTACGCGTTTAACCCTCCAAGTTGGGTCAGAAATAGTTGTTGTCACATCATGTTCTTCCTCAGTTGTTTGATGTTTTTGGGGTCCAAAATATTTGACCCATGTCCAGTTCGAAATCACCCAGCGTTGTCTTCTGAAATTTCTCACTTCAATTTCACCCATCGGTCCCAGGGTTCATGGAATTTCAGCATCCCCACCTTGAAGTGGGCGAAATATTTCTTCAAAGCCATGGTCTTGGGCGCCTTCATCTGCTGAACCATCTCGAAGACCTCCTCGACATCTTCCGCGCTGAAGCGATCACGGCGAAGTCCCACCATCCAGCAGCGGTTGCGACTCTGGGGGATCATGAAATCGCTGGTGTTCCTTGGGGGATTTGGAACACAAAAAAAACAAATGTACGGTGAGGCCAAATGTGTGGATGTGGATGTCTTTATGTACATAATATAATATATGTACTGTATATGTATATATATATATACATGTACATGTATATGTGCATGGAGAGATATAGACGTAGATATAGATATAGGCATGATGGATATTTTCAGACTTCCCGCTTTAGGTCTTTAGGTTCCCATTGTTTAAAAACAAAAAAAAACCATACGGCACTCAGCCAGGATTCAGGATACGGTACTCAAAGTGGTATCCGGCCTTCCTCATGGCCTCAACCACCTGCAGGATCACTGGTTCCTCGCCATCGATGCGGTTGGTGATGCCCTGAAGCCGGAAAGCCGGGGCCGGGGCCACAGTTCTGCACAAATCAGCCATTCTATTCAATGCGTGCTGGTTTTTGGCAGTTATTCTAATTGTAACAAAAATATAATTTTGATATTGGACAAAATTTGGACATGTGGATTTCTTTGTTCAACTGTCAAAACTGCTATCAGTCTATGCCCGTCTTTTGGACCAAAACCAGTGGCGGAATGATTTCCAATACAGTGGAAGCATGTTGAAACCCTGCCTTGACATTTTCAGCAATGACCTGAGCTGAGCAGGTCATAGGAGGGGCAGAACCGGTACATTCCAAATCTCTGTTTTTTTTGTGAATTTTGATCCGTTTCAGAAGCCTCAGTAAAACGTTTGACCAATACATAAAATTGACAGGCTATACCTTGGGGGACCCCATGGAGCAAGTTTGGGGAGTTCATTTGATGAAGCCAGATGACCACGGGCGGAGCATGTTTTTTGATGTAATCCATCATGCCACTGAAGGTCTCTCCCGTCTCGCCCCGGCCCTCCTGAAGGGTTGGGACCCCCCAAGCAAGCAAATCATTTCATGGTATTCAAAGCGACCAAATCTTTGGCATTGACTTTCACCATTCACCCTGGTCCTGAATGCAATTCTTGTAGGTCTTGCGTTCATTGTTCTCAGAGGAGACGGACTTGCACACGAAACCGGTGATGAAAATGTCGGCGGATGGCACCCGTTCCTTCCTTCCCGTGACAACGTTCAGGACCTCATCACGCTTCAAGGACTTGATGTCGCAGAAGAGCCGCTGCGTTTCGGGGAAATTCTCAAGGATCCATGTCCTTGGAGCTGCTTGGGCCATGAAAAATGATATGGATATATACCGTGTACATATAGAATTATATAGATAAATACGTGTATATACATATACATTTACATATACATATACATATACATGTACATGTACATGTACGTGTACATGTACATGTATATGTATACATATGCACATATGTACATATGTACATATGTATATATGTACACATATGTACACATATGTAATATTATATATAATATATAATATATAATATATAATATATAATATATAATATATAATATATAATATATAATATATAATATATAATATTACATTATATATACATATATATATACATATATATATACATATATATATATACATACATACATATATATTGTATACGTATGTGTATATATATATACATACATACATACATACATACATACATACATACATACATACATATATATATATTGTATACATATATACATAGATTTCCCTATAGGTTCTCCAAAGGATGGATTTACCATTGGGAAAAATGAAGAAAGTCACCTTGAGCAAAGTCCGGTGTCCTCTTCAACTCATCGAACTCGCAGCTGAATGAGGTCTCCAGTCCCATGTGCTTTGCCAAGACGATAGGACTGTCAGTCCCACTGCAAGCGGTGGCAAGAGACAGCCCAACCGCAGCCTGTGAGTTGTGGAATTTGGGACAAAAATGCAGAGAACACATTCCCTGGTTAGGCCATTTGGGGCTGGTTTCAAGCCATAAACAAGACAAATCCGCGAACCCGAATGCCCCCCCCTCGTTCCCATCCGCCCTCCCCCTTCCTCCCTCCTCTCTCTTCCGCCCACCCAGACCCCCTCGGGGAGCGTTCCCCAGCGGCCCTGCCATAGGGCCCTCGCGCTGTCCAGGCCGAAACAGCGAGTGAACACACCCGGCCCCCAGACCCCCACAGTTAAACGGGAACCCTTTGCTCCGCATTCGGGAAAAAAAACATATTCCACATGGATTTGCCCAATTCTGGTAAGTTCCAAGTGGCCCAACCCTCCAAAACAAATCATCTGAGCCAGGCAGCCTCCCGGATCTTGTTTCGCAAGCTTCGCACACTTGTCCCTGTTTCTACTGCGATGGCTTCAAGCTGTTTCTCAAGGAAATAGTTGGCCATGCTGTGCAGAGAAACCTCCCTGGGACACTGTGGGGGGCAAGCGTTTTTTGGAGCACTTCAAGACTAAAACGTCTGCGGAAAAAAATTGGGAGACGAGCAGGCTTGCTTCGGATGTTTCCCAACGGATAATTTTTCTTCGAGTTGTCCGGAAATTAGGTATTCTCAAACCCCAAATCTGCGGAAAAAAATTGCCAAAGATCATTCTGAGATGATTTCATGACTGCAATCTGGAATATCCCTTGAAGATTGTGAGGTCACAAACAGCAATGACATTCGGAACTTTGGGCTGCCGGTCCTCTGGTCTGGGGGGAAAATCAGAGTTGCAGCCTGTTCAGCAGAACAACACACTGCCTTTGAATCCGGCCAAACACATTGGAACTACTCGCATTGTACTTAAATTTTCTTGAATAAACATTAGCTCTGTAAAAGATCCAGTTTCTGTTTGCTCGATGATCTGACTAAAGGCAACAAGGTGTCACAAACCGAACTGTTTACCAACAGCATGAAGACCTTTGTCATGCTGGATTTGTTCTAATATTGTCTGTTCATTTACACTTCTTTATTCCACCCAGGCCAGGACCCTCTGAGAGGTGCAACCTTTCACTGTTTCTTGTGTTTCCAAGGGCCAACTATGCTGACTGGTGTCAATCCCTGACAAAAAAACGCACAGATTGCTGCAATGCTATTCGGTTAATTAGTATGGATCAAAACCTCAGTATTCTGACAAACATCAAAATATATAATTGATACTCATGGATGTTTTTCAGAATACTTGATTATCATGCTTAATGGATCAAAAACATCAAACATTGGTATCATGTTTAATGGATGTTTTTCGCTCATGATACCGGTCTTCAGCCATCCCTATCTGCAGATCTCCAGCAGCTCTGGTACAATGTGCTTTGTACGGACTCTCCCGAAAGATCACCTGGTCACCTACATTGTTGGCGCAACCACTAGTCACCCACCATTTCAAGTGATGTCTTGCCTGCGAAAGGCTGGGAAATATCCCCAAAAAACCTTGGTTCAATACGGACACACGGCGCGTTTCTCAGGATCTGGCGCATGTCAGTCAGCCTGGCGCTTCGACGTGTGGATCACCGGTAATACTTTAAGGAAAATCTACAAACAAAAATGAAATTGACCAACCAAACCTGGAGTAGACCCTGTGAATTTAAACTCATTATATATAGATTATAGATGTTCAGTCAAACCTTTTGTCAATTTTTCCCTGGGAACAATTCTCGAATTGAAGAGTTCGGTTCTGCCTGCGCTGGAGCGCAGGCTCTGCCTGCGCTGGAGCGAGGCAAGCAATCACAGGTGTTGAGCACGTCGTTGCGCATGGCAACTACCAAGTGGGGGTCCCCGAAAGAAAATCAAAAAAATCTTGAGCAAAAGAAAAGTACGAAAAAAGTTTGGACGACCACCCCAATCAATTCCGAGTTTGCAATCGACACCTCCAACCCGAGCATGGTCCAGCACGGCTAGTTGAGTTTTTGCGAGTGGGAATGCCCATGACCAGACTGCGAGGCAGCACTGCGTGCATTGTTTAACAAATATACATATATATGTTGCAGAGCAGTGCGTTTGGCCCATGATCAAGTCTGCTCTGAATTTTTCATCAAAGCTGGAAAAGTAAACCATGCCTTCTGCTAGGATTTAGGGACACCAATAAAATGGACCAGATTAATTGTGGTGCTGTCCAGGTACTTTAGCAGATCCTGCTCGACGGTACAAACCCAACATTCCGATTCCAATAGTGGTTTACTGTAAATGGGGAAACCGTTATTTTGATGGGGGACAACATGATGTCCTACAAAAGACTAATCCAACCACTGCCCGACGGATTCATTTTGAACACTCTGTTGCTGCTTTGTCGATGTCATGTGCAGAACACAAGCCTGCTTTGGCGCCCCATCAAGCATCCACAATCCCATTGGGTACAGACCTCACATTTGACCCTACCGCAGCCTCACATTCGACCCTACTCCACAAGAACCGCACGCACCCTCACATTCGACCCTACCCCACCAAAAATACGCAACCTTTCCAGGAAAAAATAACATTGCCCGGTTCACATTCGACCCTACCCCACTTTTCCCGGTTCACATTCGACCCTACCTCAAACCAGCCATCCGTGAACCAACCCCCTTTAAACAATTACATTCATTGGCATCAAATCAACCAGCCCCCCTTGAACAATTATATTCATTGGTATCAAATCAACCAGCCCCCTTGAACAATTACGTTCATTGGTATCAAATCAACCAGCCCCCCTTGAACAATTACATTCATTGGTATCAAATCAACCAGGCCCCCTTGAACAATTACATTCATTGGTCTCAAATCAACCAGCCCCCCTTGAACAATTACATTCATTGGTATCAAATCAACCAGCCCCCCTTGAACACGTACATTCATTGGTATCAAATCAACCAGCCACCCTTTGAACAATTACATTCATTGGTATCAAATCAACCAGCCCCCCTTGAACAAGTACATTCATTGGTATCAAATCAACCAGCCCCGCTTGAACAAGTACATTCATTGGTATCAAATCAACCAGCCCCCCTTGAACAATTACGTTCATTGGTATCAAACCAACCAGCCCCCCTTGAACAAGTACATTCATTCGTATCAAATCAACCAGCCCCCCTTGAACAAGTACATTCACTGGTATCAAATCAACCAGCCCCCCTTGAACAAGTACATTCATTGGTATCAAATCAACCAGCCCCCCTTGAACAATTACATTCATTGGTATCAAATCAACCAGCCCCCCTTGAACAATTACATTCATTGATATCAAATCAACCAGCCCCCCTTGAACAAGTACATTCATTTGTATCAAATCAACAAGCACCCCCTTTGAACAATTACATTCATTGGTATCAGATCAACCAGCCCCCCTTGAACAAGTACATTCATTGGTATCAAATCAACCAGCCCCCCTTGAACAAGTACATGCATTGGTATCAAATCAACCAGCCCCCCTTGAACAATTACATTCATTGGTATCAAATCAACCAGCCCCCTTGAACAAGTACATTCATTGGTATCAAATCAACCAGCCCCCCTTGAACAATTACATTCATTGGTATCAAATCAACCAGCCCCCCTTTGAACAGTTACATTCATTGGTATCAAATCAACCAGCCCCCCTTGAACAATTACGTTCAGTGGTATCAAATCAACCAGCCCCCCTTGAACAAGTACATTCATTGGTATCAAATCAACCAGCCCCCCTTTGAACAATTACATTCATTGGTATCAAATCAACCAGCCCCCCTTGAACAATTACATTCATTGGTATCAAATCAACCAGCCCCCCTTGAACAAGTACATTCACTGGTATCAAATCAACCAGCCCCCCTTGAACAAGTACATTCATTGGTATCAAATCAACCAGCCCCCCTTTGAACAATTACATTCATTGGTATCAAATCAACCAGCCCCCCTTTGAACAAGTACATTCATTGGTATCAAATCAACCAGCCCCCCTTGAACAAGTACATTCATTGGTATCAAATCAACCAGCCCCCCTTGAACAATTACGTTCATTGGTATCAAATCAACCAGCTCCCCTTACACAATTATATTCATTGGTATCAAATCAACCAGACCCCCTTTGAACAAGTACATTCACTGGTATCAAATCAACCAGCCCCCCTTCAACAAGTACATTCATTGGTATCAAATCAACCAGCCCCCCTTTGAACAATTGCATTCATTGGTATCAAATCAGCCAGCCCCCCTTTGAACAATTGCATTCATTGGTATCAAATCAAGCAGACCCCCCTTGAACAAGTACATTCATTGGTATCAAATCAACCAGCCCCCCTTGAACAATTACGTTCATTGGTATCAAATCAACCAGCTCCCCTTGAACAATTACATTCATTGGTATCAAATCAACCAGCCCCCCTTTGAACAAGTACATTCATTGGTATCAAATCAACCAGCCCCCCTTGAACAATTACATTCATTGGTATCAAATCAACCAGCCCCCCTTTGAACAATTACATTCATTGGTATCAGATCAACCAGCCCCTCTTTGAACAAGTACATTCATTGGTATCAAATCAACCAGCCCCCCTTCAACAAGCACATTCACTCGTATCAAATCAACCAGCCCCCCTTTGAACAATTACATTCATTGGTATCAAATCAACCAGCCCCCCTTGAACAATTACATTCATTCGTATCAAATCAACCAGCCCCCCTTGAACAAGTACGTTCATTGGTATCAAATCAACCAGCCCCCCTTGAACAAGTATATTCATTGGTATCAAATCAACCAGCCCCCCTTGAAACAAGTACGTTCATTGGTATCAAATCAACCAGCCCCCCTGAACAAGTACATGATTGGTACAATCACAGCCCGCCTTGCAACAAGTACATCATTAGCCTATCAAATCCACCCGACCCCCTTTGAACAATTACATTCTTGTATCAAGTCAACCGCCCCTTGAACAAATTCGTCATTCGGATCAAATCAACCAGCCCCTCTTTGCAACAAGTGACATCATTGCGTATTCACATAACAGCCCCCCTTCAAACAAGCACATTCACTCGTATCAAATCAACCAGCCCCCCTTTGAAACAATTACATTCATTGGTTGATCAAATCAACAGCCCCCCTTGAACAATTAAAGTCATTCGTATCAAATCAACCAGCCCCCCTTGAACAAGTACGTTCATTGGTATCAAATCAACCAGCCCCCCTTGAACAAGTACAAGCATTGGTATCAAATCAACCAGCCCCCCTTGAACAATTACATTCATCGGTATCAAATCAACCAGCCCCCCTTGAACAAGTACAGTCATTCGTATCAAATCAACCAGCCCCCCTTGAACAATTACATTCATTGGTATCAAGTCAACCAGCCCCCTTGAACAATTACGTTCATTGGTATCAAATCAACCAGCTCCCCTTGAACAATTACATTCAATGGTATCAAATCAACCAGCCCCCCTTGAACAATTACGTTCATTGGTATCAAATCAACCAGCCCCCCTTGAACAATTACATTCAC